GTTTACATAAAATGAAAGTGAATGGGGACTGGGTTATTCAAGTTTCGTGTTCGCCACAACAACATGGGGGTAAGTAAATGAGTGGGGTGAACTGTATAACTGAAGCTATAGTGCTTCTTACAACACCGGTTTCAATATCAGTCTGTAAAATAAATGCATGCAGGTAGAATAAAACCATTTTAAAAGTTTAAAACTTTTAGCGGCCACTTACTAAAGAAATAAAAGTATTTGAGCAAGCACGCGCGTTCCGCACAAACTCGGTGCGTTTGATTACAAAACAACTAGTGAGTTGCCATTTAAATGTGTTGTGTCACGCTGTCACACAGCCGTGGCGCAAAATGTTTGTGTCAAAGTTTACGTTTGACAGTCATGGTGGGAATACTTACAAATCCATAACCCCTGGACTTTCCAGTCTGTCTGTCGGTAATCACCACCGCTTCTTCTATTTCGCCAAACACTTCAAAATATTTCCTTAGACTGGAATCCGTCGTATGATACGGAAGACCACCGACAAATATCTTGGTATAAGTGGTGTCCTTTTGGGTGGTATGCATCCTCACAAAAAATGCTCAAGTGCAAAAAAATAAAAAAGGGAAAGACGATATAGTGCAATTTAGGACTGATAATGACCGTAAGACTCCTTTAATATTCCGTTAAAATATTCACTAGAAGTTACAAAAAGCGGTTGCTGAGAAATATAAAACGCACGCGCGCAGATGGGTTTAATGTCAGAGGTAGATTAATGTGGTAAGTAATGTGGAGCGGATTGAGCCAAGGATCATCAGGTGGGTCGAACTCCTCTTCCAAACTGACGTGACTTCTAAAAAGTGCGTGTGACCCATTCCTAAAAGCACCCGGTTAAACCACACCCAGATCACTTTGAGGGCGGTACGAGCACGCTTGACCCCACGCCCGCTACACGCGCTTGAACAACAGCTGGACGGCGCACAACGGGCATCTGTGTGCCTTTGTTCAAGAACTGTAGACATTTCATACAGTTGTTGTTTCAGTAAATGCATGTAAATTTGTGTGTGACAGGACACATTACTCCAAACGCCACGCTTTTCTAACAGTAACCTTGCTTTAAAAGCCAGATTAAACCAACCATGGTTTTAGGTTTAAAGGGGTCTCCCATCCTTGCCAAGCTTGTAAGCAAGCTGTTCTCCCAACCAAACCAGCTGAAAAATGCCCTAAAACTCTATAAGACCACCTGAATACTATCTGAAAACCCTGTGAAACCAGCCTACAGACCAGACTGGAAGACAAGCAAACTGTGCCCGGTTAAACCAGCTTATGCTTGTTTAAGCTGTTTTCCCCAGCAGGAAACATTGGCAGTTTTGAGATCTAACAAAAATATGGCTTCAGGCAAAAACTAAGCATGACAGCGCCAGATCTGTTACAAATAGGCTAAACTTAATTGCTAAATTCAAAAAGGCAATGGCTGTAATGGCTGACACAAATTGGGTTAACACTGCACTCCATATGACCCAGTGCATAAGAAAATAACAAAAGAATGACTTACTAAATTTGATGAAAAATGAAACCATTCGTCATTTTTTTTATTCTGAATATATATATATATATATATGTTGTATGTATGTAAAATATATAAATGTATTTAGAATTTAAAATTTATTTTGTCCTGTAAAATGTATTTTGGCTCCTTCAGGGCATAGTGTTGCTGACACTAACCCAGCGCCAGCTTGATATGAATATAGCATTTTAACTGGCTAACATAGCCTATAGCTTTTTATGTCAAAATGGCAAATAGACAATATGGCTGAATCAAAAAATCAGTATGGCCCATGGAATGGAATGCGATTTCATGAACTTAGAGCAAAGTATTTAAAATGTTGCAAAATGTTGCTAACAAAAACAAAACGTTTCCAACACACACCTTTCACACTTGGTCACTAATAGACATAGCTATCTGTAGATAAGCACAGAAGCAAGCCCAGCATATCTTATCAGGCTGATCTTGTCCGTTGGGACAACTTGGCAGGTGGTGGGTAAGAGAGTTAAAAGAGTTCTTCAGGTGAGGAACTGGAGAATGGACGCGTTTCAAATGCTGTTTCATTGAAACTAAAAACAGAGTGAGCGTCTGGGCATGTTTCCTGCGTCCCTCAATGAGTATTTGCAGCATAAAGGCACTCATTTTGTGTTGTCAGCACCTTTCATTTCTTTTCACACTTTTTTGTGCATTTTTGATTACCATTTTTATAAATATAAAACATTTAATATTGTATTTTGTTATATTTTTCTATTTTGTGTTCAGTCACCATTTGATTAAACTTATTTCAGCATCTTTAATAACTTTTTTGCTTTTTTGTAACATGAATTTGTAGAAATATGCATAAGTCTCTACTTCATACTTCAGGACACCACTGCTATTTATTGCAACATCAAATTAAAATCAGTTCATAATTAATTAAAAGTATAGTATAGCATTCTAACGTTTCTTTGAACTATGTGAAAGGCACATCTTTACAACAATTACAACTGCTAATGTCAGACCATCCCAATCTCCTTTAGGACAAAAAGAACAGACGATTTTCTAGGTCTCCATATAATTGGGAGGAATGTGATATGTCACCAGGTAAATTATTAAACAGACTTCTCATTTAGACTATACAACTTCCAAAGCACTCGGGTGATGGAGTTTTTGTGGAAGCTTGCAACCCGAGAACTAGCCTGTGTGGTGTGACCCGCCAAGCCATGTGGAGATCCTGACGCCCGTGGATGGATAATTGAGGCTTTATATAAAAAATGTCAGGTAGGAACTCGATCGAGAGCATCCATGAATCAACTAATTTATTCATGCCGGGCCACAAGCTCATTAAGCTGCGAGTGGAGGCGCAGTGAGGGAGATGGCTTTGTGTTTCAGCACAGTTACAAAAGGAGGCCTATCTTCTTTCAGGAGCTGTCTACGCTTACAAGACATTGACTTGATCTTTTTTTCTGTAGGCTACAGTTTTATGGGCACCCACTGCATAACTTAATTGGCAATCAATTTCATAAACTTTCCAATGAAAGAAATAGTCTGAGTTCAATCGACAAAGCTCAACTGACAGCATTTGTGAGATAATGATGATTACCACCAAAATAATTTTGACTAATCCCTTTTTTTTCTTTAAAATAAAAAGCAAAAATCAAAGGTTCTGCATTGTATTTACAATAGAAGTCAAAGGGCCCTATTTTAAGGATTTGAAAGCAGGAATGTAAAGCTCATAATTTTATAAAACAACACATTCATTTTCATGTTAAAACTTTGAACTGTAAAGTTGGGATTGTCATTTTTACAGTTGTTTTTATTAATATGTATTTTATTAGATTAGTTTTTATTTAATATGTCTAAATAGGTTTTTATTAATATTCATTTCAGTTTTAGTTTTGTTATTTTAGTACATTAAGTTAAATAAGAAATGTTGCCTGGGAAACTAGCTGAAATAAAACAAGTTTAAGTTTTTTATTTTAATTTCAGTTAACATTTATTTTAAGTGATGAAAATGTTTTTAATAGTTTAGGTTTACTATAATAACCCTCATTAACACACATATTATTTACGTCTTGTGGTTGGTTATACTATTGAAACATTAACATTTATGGATTCACTTCCATTTTTTTTTACACCAAAAGTATTGTTGATTGAGCTTAACTTGAACCCTTATTCTTGAACCCAGAATATTCCATAAAGTCTTTTTTTAAAGTCTTGTTAGCTCTTCTCCTTTTCAAGTTGGGCTTAAACTGATGGAATGGTTTATAGACATAATGCTCTTTTTGTGGGGCAAACGAAAAGAACGAGAGATTTTGGAGAGCCCTCAACACAATCCACCTGTCAAACACAGTCACTCACTCATACAAACACACATTTACGGCCTTCAGAGGTCACTGGCTCTAGCGAACAGCTTTGAAAGCCACACATACAAGTCATAAAAGGTTACGGTTGAATGCTTCAGTTATTTGGATAAAGTCAGGTGAAATCTAGTTGTGCGGTACATATGTTTTAATGTTTGAGTCTGTGAGGCTAATTTTCATATGGTATCATAAAAGCCTGTCTGACAAGAGCCAGCTTGAATGGTGAGGCATTACTGCATTGATAGAGGGGGCATTTTCAAATGTAACAGGTGGGACCTGTCGGAATGTCAGTGCAGGCCACACACACACACAATAGATGAAAACACGTTTTTTAAAGGTATCTAGTTTTATATAATTAGCTAATTGCAAGAGGCCTAGTTACTTAGGATAGTTATACCATCATAATTACAAAGAGACATACTAACATGCAAGGAAAACACCAGAGAGCCATCTCGGATTTCCACTGTCCCCAAGACAAAACAATTCCCTGTTTCAGCCTAACTACATTAGCTAAGTAGCGCCACCTTGTGGACAGCCATTTCCCTTCAGTGGAAGGTACACAATTGCAACTGAGTGTTTAAAAGAATATATTGATTTTTAGACAAAATATCTCACAGATTATTGTAATAATTGATTGCATATAAAAGTAGTTTACATGATAAACTGTACATAAAAGTTTGGGGTTAGTAATAAATGAATACTTTCATTAAGCACGGATGCATTAAATTGATTACAAATTACACTGTATAGATATTTATAATGTTATTAAAGATTTCTATTTCAAGTAAATTATGTTCTTCATGATACAAATCCTAGGGAAAATGTATCATGACTTCCACAAAAAGATTAAGCAGAACAACTGTTTTCAACGTGGATAATAATAACAGGAAATGATACTTCAGCAAAAAAATAAAAAATAAAATAATAATAATTCAGCATATTAGAATGATTTCTGAAGGATTTATGTGATTATGTGACACTGAAGATTTGAGTAATGGCTGCTAAAAATTCAGTTTTGTCATCACAGGAATAAATTACACTTTAAAATATGAAAGAATAAGACAGAAAACAGTTATTTAAAATGATTATTTGTAATTATATGTTTACAATATTTTACTGTATTTTTGATCAAATAAATGCAGCCTTGGTGAGCACAAGAGACTCTTATACAAAAAAAACATTTAAAAATCTTACTGGCCCCAAACTTTTGAGAAAGAATAATGTTCTTAAAATTCAAGTATGAAAGAAATATCTAACTGGCAACTTGCATATAGTATATATCATGCTGAATTGTTAACCCTTCTAATCATTGTTCTGCTACATACATAATGACTGCATCAACCTGTTTACACTTATTAGGCACATATGTCCATGATAATGTAAAACCCAAAGTCAGAATTTGATCTGAGCCATACCCTGCATTAAAATAAACAAGATTAATCAAGTGAATAACATGTAAAGTGCATGTGCAACTCTAAGAATGTACATTAGGAAATCTCGCTAGATCAAGCTGCTTCTGTATGTAGTTTCATTCTGAAACACACACACAAGCAGCGGGTCTAAAATCCCTCATCTGTGTCTTCAGTCTGTTGGAAGGTGGAGTCATTTTCCAGTTCTGGGGAATCATTAAGTCTTTGGTCCTCAGACTCTCCATTGACTGGCTCCATTGATTGCAGCTGTTTGGTTCTGGTTGGGACAGGAAGCTGTTCGGAATGGAGCAGTTCCAAGGGGTCGAGTTCCCCGTCTGCGGTCACTGGGGCAGCGAAACTCGGCCGTGCTGATTTAATCCTCAACCTGCGTTTCAGGTCTTCCTTCTCCTAAAACAGATGTTTTAACCATATTTCATAATGTTGCGCCACATACTAATGCTAATTCAATTTAACTGCACAAAAAAGTGCAAAAACTCCAAGATGAAATAAGATTTAAAAATTTTTTTTAAATGAATGATCAATGTCATTTGGTTCTGCTTCACCTTTCTCCTCTCCTCCACCTGTCTCATCTTCATCTCAATGTCTTCCTTTCTGGTGACTTCTTGTTCTTTGCGAATTTTCAGTGACTCTAGCCGAGCAGGTCTTCTCTTTGGCTTCTCAGCATCATCCATCTAACAGACATTATAAATGTTTGTCCCAGAGGAACAGAAATGATCATGTATACACACACAATATGAAAGATAAGTTACAGATACTTTTCAAAGAATAGTCAACTAAACGTTTGAGTGGATTAAAGACTAAGTAAACTCCAAAAAGGGTGATCAGGACCCCGACAAAATATGAATGAGTCTTGTATCAAGGGGTTTATTTTGGAATAATTATTGGCCAAACATATGATCACACATATTGCAATGCAACTTACTAAATAAGTAAATAAATATAGCCTACATTATACACTACTAGTCACAAGTTTTTGAACAGTAAGATTTTTAATGTTTTTTTAAGAAGTCTCTTCCAAGCCTGCAGTTATTTGATCCAAAATACAGCAAAAACAGTAATATTGCGAAATATTTTTACTATTTAAAATAACAGTTTTTTATTTGAATATGTTTTAAAATTAAATTTATTCTTGTGATCAAGTCTAAATTTTCAGCATCATTACTTCAGTCTTCAGTGTCACATGATCCTTCATAAATCATTCTAATATGCTGATTTGCTGCTCAAGAAACATTTATTATTATTATTATTATCATCATCAATATTTAAAACAGTTGAGTACAATTTTTTCAGGATTCTTTGATGAATAGACAGATCCAAAGATGTTTTGTAACATTATACGCTATACCATTCAAAAGCTTGGAGTCAGTATAATATTTTTCTTGGGGGGAGGGGGTTATAGGAATTAATACTTTTATTTAGCAAGGATGCTCTAAATTGATAAAAAGTGATGACACTTATAATGTTTATAATGTGAAGACATTTATAATGTTACTAAAGATTTCTATTTAAGATAAGTGCTGTTCTTCTGAACTTTCTATTCATCAAAGAAACCTGAAAAAATTCTACTCAGCTGTTTTTAACATAATAATAACAACAAATGTTTTCTGAGCAGCAAATCAGAATATTAGAATGATTTCTGAAGGATCATGTGACTGGAGTAATGATGCTAAAAATTCAGATTTGAAATCACGGGAATAAATTACATTCTAAAATATATTCGAATAGAAAACAGTTATTTTAAATAGTAAAAATATTTCAAAACTTTACTGTTTTTGCTGTACTTTGGATCAAATAAATGCAGGCTTGGTGAGCAGAAGAGACTCCTTTAAAAAAACATTAAAAATCTTACTGTTCAAAAACTTTTGACTGGTAGTGTATGTAGACCTTAAGCAGGTTAGACGCCATATTGAATTTAATGAGGCTGTGAGGAATAGACCTAGTTTTTACAATGGCATACACTGCATGAACATCCTAGATCATGTAATTTTCTTTTTCTTTTTCAGAAAGACAGTTTAACAGCTGAACAATCAGTATGTTGATAAACAACAGTACAATCCACTGAAAGCACTGTACAGCCTCATCTTCATTCCTGCCAAAAATTAAATATGGTGCTTTTTTATTATTACGTTATTTTTATTCTTTGTTATTTTTATTTAATAAAATGTATTTTTAAAAAGAAATTATTTTATTATGTGAGAAAAATAAGACATGGAACTAGTATAAGAGACTGGGACAACAGTCATATAACCAGTTTAGAGCTCATTACACAAAAATACTTGACTGCAGAAAGTCATGACCAATCAGATTCAAGTATTCGAGTCTTATAATAATAAAGACTATTCTAGTAATGAATACAGGCATGTATAATATTCGTATTCACTGTGTAAGAATTGAATTTTGGACATTTCCACAACACAACGCAATGTGTAATTGAAAATACAGGTGAAACGTCTATGAACAATCAATATGTACAATTCCTTCATATTAACTTTTCTTGGAGTGTTGATTTTTAATGTGAGAAAAGGCAATATTTGAGAAATCATAACACTTTTATATTTTAACATTGACAACAGCCCTCACCATGATGTTGTAGGCTTCCCCACTTCCTCCCTGTCTTGGTTGAGCTGGAATGATTCCCTGAACAAGCAGCTGCTCCAGGATCTCACTGGAATCGGGCCTCTCTTCGCTTTGCTGGGCCAGTCCAGGACTCTGGGCTAGATTTCACACGATGTGTAGGTTAAAATAACGAATATACTAAGTTAATTTCCTACATTCTTTTTTATATTGTTATTCCATTTCAGCTTTCCTATATCTCTGAAAGGCCTCAAAGTTGGCCAGCAGTTTTTAGCTCCTTTAAAGTGAAATAACATCAAGTTGTCCTAGAATTTCTATCTAACCTTGTAGTGGTGGCAGCATTCTAGGTACAGATCCAGGTAGAACTGTTGGCTCCGCTGCATCCAGACTGACCCCGCTGTCTGTGGTCATTTTGGACACGGCAGAGTCACCGCGAGAGCCTCCCTGTACAACAAACTCCAGAGTTTCAGTCTACAAAATAAAAGCAAAGTAAGTCAGATATAAGTCTGCATGTAACAAAACACTGACAGGCTAAATTGTTTGCTAGTCTTGTAAGGTCTGTTGGCTGGTTTTAAAGGGATTTGAGACTGGGAAACCAGTTAAAATCAGCTAAGACCAGCAAAGCAGCTTTGGTTGGTTGAAGCATTTCATTTTGTTTAATTATTCATCTAATTCACCTAATATAGACTATTAAATATCACAGTTGTGAGAACAACAGATCTCTTAATCAGTTTCCTCATATGTTTCAACATACTATAACCACTACCGACTAGCTAATATTCCGTTTATTAATTCATATTTGAAATCACCATAAATCGAATAACAAAAAGATTACAGCTTACCTCATTTCCGTTCAGACCTCTTGGTTTTACGGGTTCGACCACCGTGATTTTGGAGCTCCCACATCCCATGCTTATCGCTCAGGACAGCGCGAGCTTTCAACTATTTGATCTGTGTGAAGTTCTTAAACACTGTCGCATTCCAACACATGATCCACGATCTCGCGACCATCGTCGTCATGGACTCTCTGCGTTGCTATGATTCGTTGCTACAATAAATCTGACCCCGTTCCAGAGGTCACGTAACCTGTTATGTTGCCTTGGCTCTATGCTTGTTAAAAATAAAACACGGGTTTATACTGGTGATTGATTATTAGAACAAAAGTGGCATCAACAGTTAATTTTTCAGTTAATTATTAGTCACTAGATTATTTTATTAGAATTAAAAATAGCCTAAATAAATATCTGAAACCAAACACTGAAAAAAGTTTTCTTACTATTGGTAACCCAACTTTTTTATTTATTTATATATTATTAGTTTTATTTATTTATTTTTTACTTTATTAGTGGCAAAATTGTTATGGGTGGGCCTTATCCTGTAGCTATTCTTTAAGCTTTTAATAAATTAAATCAACAAATCAAGCTAATTTTGGTGTTATTTTTTGTCTACTCTTATTGATGTCTTTCTTCGAAATGATGATGTGTTGGCTACATTTACTGGAAACGGCCTGTGTTCTAATGACATACCCGTCATAAAACAATTGGCCAAGGCTTGACAGATCTATAACACATTATATGTCACCTAGACACCTTCTTCTACTACAACCACAAAGACACCAAGCTCACCAAGTGGCACAATTAGGTCTGACTCCCTCATAACTTATTTTTGTTGTTTAAAGGGGTCATATGATGCTGCTAAAAAGAACATTATTTTGTGTATTTGGTGTAATGAAATGTGTTTATGCGGTTTAAAGTAAAAAAAACACATTATTTTCCACATACTGTACATTATTGTTTCTCCTCTATGCCCCGCCTTCTGAAACGCGTCGATTTTTACAAAACTAATCGGTCTGAAAAGCGAGGTGTGCTCTGATTGGCCAGATATCCAATGCGTTGTGATTGGCCGAATACCTCAAACGTGAGACGGAAATGTTACGCCCCTCACATACTGTGACGCCGTGTCCCGGCCGGAGCAACGACACAAAAACATGAAAACCCATTACAAACGAGGCATTTGTTGCATCCAGTGGGGATCTCTCGCTCTCTCTCTCTCTCACACACACGCGCGCACGCACACACGATGCGCAAAACTCCGCATTTGAACAGTCAATAGCAAATACTTAAACTAATAACAAAACATACTTACAGTAGCTGATTCAGAAGCGCCAGATTGTCATAGCAAAGTCAGAATTACCTCCTCTCCTAGGTTCACGAAACGGTCGTCCATAAAATGCATTGCTGTTCTGTTGTAAGTGATCCAAATAAAGTGCTTTTGCTTTCGCACTGAAACACACAGCGTCTCCCTGACATGGCTGCTTCAACACTAACTGCGGTTACTGACACCATGCCTTCTTTCTTTGCGTGCACATTTGCGGCGGGATTATGCAAATATTTCCACATAGTGGGGTAGATATGTGGGGGCGTGTTAGAATGAGCCGTTTTAGGGGGGCGTGGCAGAGTCTTAACTTTGATAAAGAATATCTCTTTGGTTTCGAGACTTTAGTCTTTGCAACTTCAGGGATCTTATCTATGCACAATCAGCTTGTAACACTCCAAAGAGAAAGGAAAACTTGAAATCGCATCATATGACCCCTTTAACTAATTATACTAAGTAGATAATTGCCAGCACTCATATAAGATGTAATAAATTATATTTAGGCCTATTTGAGTGAATATCTAGATTTGATGAAAAAACAAACAAACAAAACCCAATGTATTCATACATACAGTATAAACAGTACCAAAGAAAACTGTGCAGATATAAATATACATAGCCTATAATAAATTATATGCAAAAAAATATAAATAACATGCAATTGAAAACCCCCAAAATATATATTTTCTAAACAAAAACGTATTAAATGATCTTTTAGCTTGTATATTTATCATGTGGAGTAAAATCTGACAGTAGGCCTAACCATTACATTGAAAGAAAGAAAGAAAGAAAGAAAGAAAGAAAGAAAGAGGAGGCTTATAATCGTGCCAATACAGCTTCTTGAGTCCTAAATTAAATTAGACTAAATAGATTTGGTTTTACATTCAGATTAGATTAAACTGATTTTAGATGGGACTAAATTAGATGAAGAACGACGGAGAACATTTCCAACGTGAACTTCTGAACTTCCCCAAGTAGATGTCCGTCACATCATAAATCCGTTAGGGTAAGATCTGCTTTTCGCCAGCGCGCAGTCAGGCCAGAAGATGGTAGTATCGCTCATCTTTCCTCCAGTCAAAACCCAGGAACCCTGAATGACCCCGCCTGAAACAGAGCCCTGCAAATGGGAGAAGCTCTTATAGCCTCCTGCCATTACCCAGCCAATGAAGTCGCCTGAAATACGGCGGTGAGAACATCTCGACCCACTCAACTTCAGTGAAGTTCTGTCAGAGAAGCTCGGCGCTGGCGGAGGCGGAGTGGAGTGTCTTCTGGACCCGTTGTCAGTTTGGATGAGACCAACCATGGGTCCCAGTCAGGGTTCCAGGATGCTCAGTAAAGATGATGCGAATTATAAACTTCACTTTCGGATGATAAACGAGCAACAAGTGGAGGATATCACCATTAATTTCTTCTACAAACCGCACACCATTACTTTACTGACGTTCACCGTCGTCAGCATAATGTACTTCGCGTTTACGAGGTGAGTAAACACGAGGTTTACGACATAACACACCTGTCTGTCAGCATGGCAACGGCAACTCAGAGCGCGTGACAGCGTTCTGTCAAGACGATTACTTTATTCAGTTTCAGCAACAGGTATAAAGATGATTGGTTACAATGTTGCCAACGCACATCAAGTTAACAACTGCTTTAAATTAAAAAGTAAACGAGTTTTTCAATGCCACTTGGAGTTATAATAACAGCAGTGTTTACACACAACCTGGGGCCACGACTTAAAATTTTTGATTGTATTGATAATAGCCTAATGTTTTAAAACGGCTTATTTATTTAAAGATTGCATTTTCAAAGTGTTTTTGAATGACTTAATAACTGTTAATGTGATCTATTCACTTATCTATGTCAGGGTTATTATAATTAACTAAAACGATAAAAAGTTCCTTGAGATAAAAAACACAAATTAAATTAAATTAAAAACAGCTAGTTGACAAGGCAACACTTCTCATTTTTATTTAATTCAACTTGATGTACCAAAAACTAAACAAAAACTGAAATAAAAATTAATAAAAAAACAATAGATGTTTAAAACAAAATGACAAAAAACTACAAAATGATTAAAACTTCAACTAAAATAAAAATGACAAATGAAAAATATAAAAAGAATAATTAATTTAAAATATTAATAAATCTGGCAATAGTATCTCAATGATACTAAACACTGGTCTGTCTTATTCTCCATTGATCTGCCACACCAAAAAGTCTGGTGACATTGTGAAAGGTTATCGTTCTATGACGTAGTCATGGCTCTGATATGTTATCTGTACTTCGTGTTTTTATTATGGCAGGGATGATGGTGATTCTGATAATAACCTTCGTGTGGGTCTGCTGCTGGTCGGCTCTTTCTTTCTTGTTATCAGTGTTCTTGCCTTCCCCAACGGTACAGTCATTGTTCATTTGCTTCTCAGTAGAAACAAACTTTAACTGGATGCAAATTGACTTTTGCTGATTGCTTTCATTGCAGGAAAATTCTGTCATTATTTACTCACCCTCATGTCTTTTCTTCCACGGAACACAAAAGCAAATAAGTAACGCAGGATTTCCAAGCTGCTCTTTTCCATACAATGAAAGCTCAGGCATTTGGCTAAACCTCTCCAAGTAAATCACACAAATAGGAATGACATGAAAATGAACACATTTTTTTTCTCATTGGATTAAAAAAAACACTTTTAGGTCCTTTCACAAGACCGCATCCCGTTATATGGCGCATGGTTTTTGGTGAGTGTCTGTTAACAGTCTTTTTTCTTGCGTGTTTACGTATCAGTGGCTATGTTGACTCAACCTCCAACACCTTAATCTATTGGCACATTGCAGGTCTCAGTGTCCTTTACTTCCTATTCCTGGTGTTCCTCATCTTCCTGAACTGGGATCAGGTGAAGGCGCTGTTGTATTGGCTGGATCCCAATCTACGTAATGCTACACGAGAAGCAGATGTCATGGTGAGCGATATGAGATCCCAGGACAAAAACTAAATTCATTCTTGCATGAGAAGCTAGAAGCTAGCCATCATGTCTTAGACTGATGATACACGGGGCAACTTTTTGAGCAATATTGCTGGGCAATTTTGGGAAATGTTGCCGTCAACGGGCAACCAGGTGAGACACAGGGCCCACGACTGATCTAAAATATCCAGATAGAAATTTGTTAGCCATTCTCAATGGGAAAGTGCCCAAGAAACGTTGCTCAAAAAAAGTTGCCCGGCAAAATTACTCAAAAACTATATAATCTGCGATTTCCTGCATAATGTCATCTTTGTCTATGGCTGCATGTCAGTCTTATGAATTTCTATAGGCAATCATGGTCACAGCAGACTAGTGCAGCCCATAGATTATGTCTGAGCTGTGGAGTTTGAAACCCTCCGTTTAGTGTTTGTGTTTCTAATCCAGTGAATTATGATTAATTACTGTAAAGAGATAATGCCAGCTTTCTGTAAGAGGTTTCCATGTTGCTCAGAGGATGGCCTGACTGCGGACGTTCAGCCAATAGGATTATTTGAATACTTTTTGAGCAATATTGCTGGGCAATTTTGGGAAATGTTGCCGTCAACGGGCAACCAGGTGAGACACAGGGCCCACGACTGATCTAAAATATCCAGATAGAAATTTGTTAGCCATTCTCAATGGGAAAGTGCCCAAGAAACGTTGCTCAAAAAAAGTTGCCCGGCAAAATTACTCAAAAACTATATAATCTGCGATTTCCTGCATAATGTCATCTTTGTCTATGGCTGCATGTCAGTCTTATGAATTTCTATAGGCAATCATGGTCACAGCAGACTAGTGCAGCCCATAGATTATGTCTGAGCTGTGGAGTTTGAAACCCTCCGTTTAGTGTTTGTGTTTCTAATCCAGTGAATTATGATTAATTACTGTAAAGA